CTGAACAACCAATGCCTTTCAATGATTAAAAATTCAGTGCCCATATCTGGCTGTGCTGGTTTTGGCTGGGGTAGAGTTAATTTTCTTCCCAGTGACTAGTATGGGGCTGTGTTTTGGATTTGTTCTGTAGACAGGGTTGATAATATAGAATATTTTTGTTATTGCTGATCAGAGCTTACACAGAGCCAAGGCCTTTTCTGCTTTTCATATTGCCACACTGGCAGGGAAGCTGGGTGTGCATGGGAGGTTGGAAGGAGGCACAGACAGCTGACCCAAACTAACCAAAGGATTATTCCATACCATATGACGTCGTGCTCAGTATATAAAGTGGGGGGAAGAAGAAGGAAGGGAGGGATGTTTAAAGTGATGGGATTTGTCTTCCCAAGTAGCCATTACACATGATGGGGTCCTGCTTTCCTGGAGATGGCTGAACACCTCCTGCCCATGGGAAGAAGCAAATTAATTCCTTGTTTTGCTTTCCTGTGTGTGTGGCTTTTGCTTTCCCTGTGTGGTGGGTGGTTGCTGGCTGGGGTTAAACCATGCTGGCTGGGGTTAAACCATGACACTGGCCTATAAAGGTAATGAGAGTTGTGCGTGTAGCTGCAAGGAGTTCATTGAGCTGAGTACTCCAAAGTGTTCAGATGGTTACACACATTCATTGGCATTGGGTTTAAAAAAGAAACTTGTGTATCAGGCCTTTTCAGAATTTAGCCCTTAATTTGTGAGTTTTTGGGGGGCATTTATACAAGTACTGCCATCTCAGGTGCCCTGTGTTTCTGTCAGATATTTTGATTTTCTATTGCTGTGTGATATCACAGAAGACTTGAAAGTTTTTCAAATATATTTTCCCCTTCAGTGATTCCCAAATGTAGTTAATAATGTAAATAAAAAGACACAATTGTATTTCTCTATGCTTCATAACCAGAAAGGAAGAAAAAAAAAAAAAAGAACAGTCATTGCACAAAGATGCTTTGTGGCCAAATGAAATCTTCAGTTCTGCTCAGCAAAATGAGGACACGTTTCCTTTTTTTTCTGGTTCAGTACAAAAAAGCTTTACCAGGCAATGTTGTTAAAACTGATGCTGTTTTCAAAAGAGTTACAGTTCCTGCCAAATTGAGTTCTCTGTGAATGACAGTTTATCAAGAAGAGGAAAGCTGGATTTTGGTCTGCAGCCACTGTGCTTTATCTGACTAGTACTGATCACACATGCCTTTGTACTGAGTGAAGTGCAATCTGACATCAAAGGTCAAGATTTCATGTCCCTGCTCCCAAAAGGCCAAATGGAGACGTGGAGAGTTCTTCGTTGTTGTGCACTGATTGAGCAGCAATTTGAATTTCTGTGACATCAACAAACGCTCACAAACCAACAGCAGTGTGAAGCTTTAAAGAGAGCAGTGCCTCTAATAAAGCAATTAAACAGACAGCTGAGAAGCACCTGAATACACAGTGCATACATAAAGAAAACCAGCCAGCCATAATCCCTTCTGGATGTAGCCCTCCCTCTCTCCTGAGTTTACAACAGAGTGTGGGCTATCACTTACATATGTTAGTATCTCATCCTATGTCTTGGAACACGCTGTGATAAACTGCACTATAAATGGGAAAGGTTCTTATAAAAATAGTCATCTTTGTATGAGGCTATTTTGCAACTATTTCATCAGACTCATTAAGGAAACTTTTGAAATTTCTTTTACTTACTTCAACATAGTCATAGTTACACGAATGGTGATTTTCAATGTCAAAATCCGTGAAATTCAATAGGACTCTGTGGCTATAGTCAACTTGGATCACCCAAGAACAATCTGTGTTGTTATTATAAGGTTGAGGATAGTTTGGAGAATGGATTTCCCCACTGGTAGCTTGGAAAATACCACCACAGCCTGAAAAAGACATAATCAGTTTTAATCACAAGCTTTTCTCCTATTTTTTTTGCCTTAGCGAGAATCCACATCTATTTTCAAACTAAATGCACCTCCTTCCTTATATCTTCTACATTAAATTTTTGTAAGATGAGTGCTACAACTGCCCTGGATGCACAATAATCAATGGAAATTACTGTCAGGAAAGTATAACATTATCATTATAGTTGAATATGCAACAACAGTACTTGTGAGCAATATTTTTTTCTAGCCCCTGGATGGTATTAGATATTGTAAAGGCTGAAGCATTAGTGCTGGCATTCCTCTATCCTAGATACTGTAAAAGCAATTCAAAATATGATTCCTATGAATGCCACAGACCTGGCATGCTAAGAAAGCCTAGCTGAGCATAGGGTGAGAAAGCTGCTTCTGATACCACGACAGCTGGGAGCTCCTTGTTGCTCATGAGCAGTACAGCAATTGCAAACCTCAAGTTTCTACTTCTCTATACATGAAATTGAGGGTTTCCTGAGAACTCCACTCTCAGATATTGCTGACCAGAACAGCTCTGTGCTCATGAATATCTGAATAGCCTGGAATGATCGATCCTGTGTGGGAAGTACCAGGGCTTTCAACAGGACTAGCACAAACAAATGGACTTTTATATATTGGAAAGGGATGGAGGAGGGACAGAGAAAGACACTGGGATGGCTGTAGAAGGAGGCAGCTTGCTGGAGGGATAAAAAACTATACTGTTGTTGCATTCTGGTGAGTGTGTATTTTAGAGGCTAGAGGAGGGCTGGAGTACAACAGGCAATACATTGTAAAAGGATGAGAAAGCTTTGGGAGGCCTAAAAAGATAGCAAAAATAAGTAGAAAAAATAAGCCACCAGATCTCAGAAGGGGATTAATTCAAAGGACTATTGTAGACTTCTTCTATTAAAAACAAATCTTGTGCCTTTCTCATAAAACCTGTGAGAGTGGAGAAGTATAAACCTTGACAAATTAATGAATCAGTGTGCTTAATCAAGCAAAACTGCAAGAATTAAAATCCACCTCTCCTCAGTTTTCACTGCGATTATTTTCCGATAATTGGCCTTTTCATAAGAACTCCCATGTAAAGACATGTGGCTGAGTCTCTTAAGCTTGTCTCTTCCTTTACCAGGAAGATGTTCATAGCCTTACTGGCAAGGCTATGAACAAATTATCACAAGGAAAGTGGATGAACCTTAGAGAGTTCAAGTATTTGCTAATCACTCCAAATATTTTTGGAGTCCACTAAGTTCTCCAAGTTAAGCCATGTTCTCAGATATTTTTCACTTTACAGTTTAAAATCAAAACCATTATTCAGCTAATTAAGGACTCTGTATATGTAAGTGGGCAGGAAGAATTGGTAGCATGCAAAAGTCCTTTTCTGATTACAAGAATGGCTCGATTAATTATGTAGAGAAGAAACTCCAACAAGGAAGACCATTACAAAATACATAAGCAGGCCTAGATTTCAGCTAGTTAGACAATTGTTTCCTCTGTGGGTTTTTCAGTATGTCTTAGCATTACCAAATCCAGTAACACCCACATTCTCCTTCAGCTTTCAACCCTATGTTGTTTGACTGCTTTAAATGCTTGCATGGCTGATCTTTGATTCTCAGACTTCCTGAATTTCTCATGGCATTAATCAGTATACTCACCACCTGGATTTTCTTGCCAGGAGGCATTAAAACCTTTCCCTGTCACTGCTTCATCTGTCTTGAAACGGACAATGGCTGAATTGCCAGTGGTAGAGACTCGCAGTGGGTTCTGTGCTGATCTTGAAACACACAGCTGGGCTAGCCTAGGAGAGAGGAAATCCGGGCCACCATAGACCTAGAAATGGAAGAAACAGTGTCAAAGTTTTCCAAAGAGACAATCTGCCACATAGAGTACATGACAACTGTTTAGCTAGGAGAAAAAATCAACTCATTCTCTAAGTATTGAAAGTGATTCCACGTTTTTAAATGTAAAGCAGCTAAGAGAGTTATTTTCTCTGCTGGTTTACTTGGCATCTGGACCACCTGTATGAACTAAGTATGAAATCCTAGATAATTTCAGAACAGTCAGTCTTCCATTAAATAGAATTTTCTGTATGGGGACTTTGGGATATTCTTCTTCCCTGCCACTCCAGGATTATACCTTGTTTCTGTGGCCATATAAACCCAGATTTATTTTTTTTTTGCATGCTTGTGCAAACAAACTGTTTCTCTTTGCAGGAACCTGTGCTGATGTTTTACACCCCTGATGTTTAGAGGCACAGCAAAAGATGATTTTTAAATTGGGGCTAGATTTCATCATTCCTCCTGGTAAAACAAAAAAACATTGCCATTTCATTGACTTCACAGGCAGCATATACATCCAAACTATTGGATTTTGGTCAAGTAAACTACATTTTAATAATACTCTTTGGAAGCAAGGATATGTATCATTCATATTTGCCACAGAAGACAGGTTTTGACTTTTAAGAGTAATTATTTCCTACTCAGAAGAATGTGCCTCAGGCAGTTATAAACCAGGAAACCACTAGCTTAACCATCAGCAACAGTATTGTGTACTTTATAATGCACTTTGAAACCAAGTGAAGTGAATTAGGTATCAATGCTGAAGCTGTGTTAATCCTATTTCTCGTTTACCAGAAGGGATGTAGGATTTTAGTTTGAGCCCATTTATAACTGGTGGAACTGGCTTACCTTCCCTAGTCTTCCTTCTCAAAGCTGAGAAAACCACACAAGCTCAGTGCAATTTCCCAATCCAGACATGTGATTCTGGTGCCTAGAATCTTCAGTGATTGAATTTTATTGGCTCCTTGCATGCTAATGAAATGCCACCTGATATTAAGACTCTACTGCCTTCCATTGCTATGTCCTTGGCAGGACAGCAGCTGCAAAAGTCACCTTGACAGTAACCTCAAATGTGAAAACTATGAAAGAGATATACCAGATAAAGAGTGTGCTGCTGTCTTTCAGTGACTGAACTAGCAATAGATAGATTCTCATTGTATAAGCATATATATAAGCATTGTATAAGCATATATTATGTGTCAATCCTGAAGCTAAACTAGGGAATGGCAAGTCCTAATAAAAAACCAAACCAAATAAAGAACCAAATGAAAAGAACAAGAAGCAGAGAATAGGAAGATGAGGCAACAAATCGCATCAGAGTTTTCCAACCAGAAGCATCTCAAGTCTCCTCCAATATTCTATCAGTCTGGTAAGCATGAAAAAAGTCAAAAGAAGCAATCCATTAATTTCTTTCAGAAAGTGACAGTACTGTAAGAAACAGCTTTCTATGTGGCCCTTTTGCCTCTGACCACTTCTAGATGAAGGGAAACTCAATATTTTAATAAACTCTGTTGGATACTTTTTAATCTGAGAAGACTTTTGGGTTCAGTCCAAGCTAAATAGCTGAGCAAGTCAAACAAAGAGCTGAGCTAGTCCCCCCACCTCCAGGACTAAGTGTAGTGCATTGCTACATAATTTGATTAATTGTGTGCTCACTAACTGCTCAACAGGGCCTGACACTGCTCTGCTGTTAGAGGTATAAGAGAAAGAGTTTGGCTTTTAACTGGAAAAAATATTCTGTGACTCTAGGTTAATGTGAGACCCCAGAAACTGAAGCTTGCATCCCCAGAAGAAATAAAGAATTATTTTTTTTGTAAACATTATAGTCTGTTAGATATTCAAAAGACTCTATTTTGCTTTGGTGGCTGATAACACAGGCTCAATAGCTAAAACATTTTTATTTTGACTGAGACAGCACTTTTTTGCATTCTGCAGGGAGGCTGCATGACCTGAATGGATAATGGTTGCTCTGTCCAATCGATCATCTCAAGGCATTCAAGAGAAGTCAGTATGGATGAAATCACAGCTCAGATTCAGAATCTGTAATGAAGCAGTCACAGTCTGGGGAAGAAGCCTGCTTGTCTGCTGGAAGCCCAGTGTCTTCAGAAAAATCTTACTGCTTGGCTGCTGGTGAGGCCTGGTGACAGCTGCATTTGTCAGAAGTCTGTTCAAAATGTGAATTTTAAAATGTGTTTGTGGTATATTCCCTGAGTCAGAGCCACAGCATGAGATCTAGCAGGAACACATGCTATTAATCATCTAAACCAGCCCAGAGAAGCTATGTAGCAGAGGAAACAGCAGGAGTTTCTAATATGCATCTAATAAGCCTCACGGACCAGCCTCTCACATCATCCCTGGTGCTTCTTGGGGCCATCTGCACACCATGGGCAAGGGGACCAAACCCGGCTCTGACACAAACCCTGCTGGTTTCTGTAGCATTACTGCAGAAATCGACTTGGCCTGAGCTGAACACTCAGAATTGACCTGTTAGGAAAGAATTAAGGATGAAGAAGAAATACTGATGGAAATCTGAGGTTTGTGGGTCTCCTTTACATTGTTAACTGTTCAGCAATGGCCTTCTGCACAGTTTCAAAATAAAAAAGCAGTCAGAGGCATGCTCTTTACACTTAGGAGTATATTTTCTTTTCTCCTTTAGGCTAGTTCAATTAATCAGATGCTTTCACAAGAGCTGGAACAAAAACAACCTAGAGTGTTTCCATGACAAAAAACAATAAAATATTACTTTTGGCTACAAAGAGGAAAACCAATAGTTACCACATGAAAAAAGAAGAGGGAAAAGAGAATGGATGGAAAGAATGAATTCAAGGGTGTGGTTCACAAAGAATCATAGGATGTCTGAGCTGCAAACAGATAAAATAAAAATAAAAACATTTAGTCTGACCAGAGTACCTGATCCAGAGATAAAGTGATATTAGATGGCATAGCGGACACTGCCATAAAGCCCATGGTTTTAATCTGTTCTTATCATTTGCTTCTGCCCCGTTAGCTCCATTTATTGTTAACAGTCAGCATTCCAGAGTTATGAGCAACAGAAAGCTGTTTTTATGTGGTTGGTCACCCTCATGACACAGATTTTCTGGGAATAAAACTGATCCCTGTTCAGATATAACTGCCAGCAATGAGAGAGCCTGGCTTTGGCAGAGAACTACAAACTACAGTAATCCTTGATGTTTCTGTATATTTAAATGAGAAGACCAGGGCATCTAATAAAGTCTTGGAAGTGCAATAGATTGACAGGATTCCTTCCTTTTCAGCTCAGATCTACATCTTGCTGAGGTAGAATATATTTATAGTTTATAAAATTCAGAGACGGTTGCTTTCCTCTATGTATGTATTTTCAATAGAAGCTATTTAAAATATATTAACTCTTTAATTGTGTCCCGAATAATGGCTTCTATTTCCGTGAAACATTTCTGGAAAAAGTCTTTAAGAACAATTTAAAATTTGCTTCTGGATGTTTATAAGAGGAATTGAATTTGATGAATTTTACATTAACAAGGATGCTTCACAAAAAAGTGCAAGAGAGAAATATTCCAGAAACTATGGTATAAAAATGAAGTTAGCAGCAAAGGTGGTGCAATGGGAAAGATCTCTTAGAATTTTCCTACAATTCTCTACCAGGTCAAAGGGATGAGGGTGTTTTTAAGCAAAAGCTAAATGCATCCAGGAGAGCAAGTTTTGTGGTTACTGGGAAATATTTATTACAAGGCAGCTTCTTATTTCAGGGAGTAGAGAAAGTTAATGGGACGGGGAGGGATAGCAGAATTCAGAGTGACTTTAGCACTGGTTTTGACTTCCTATTAAAGCTGCAAAGTTATTTGGCTTGAAAGAAAACAGTAAGTGGTAGAACTCACTATTCAGAGGTAAGAAAAAGTGAAATCAGGAGAATAACCATGAGAAAAAACAGACTTCAAAACCTGAAGAATTGGTAGACAGGATACTCTTGGGAAGATAATGTGAAAGGCATTTGGAACCTTAATGATCACTGAAATACACTGCATCAAAGGCACACCAGGAACCATTTTTCCCAAACACTTTTAAAACTTGCGTGTGTGTGTTTTTCAGCTTGGACATATATAGACAACTGCAGGAAAGAAGCAGCTTCTGAAAATGGTTCATCTCATTCTTTTTTTCCAATAAATTTGAGTCATCATTTACCTGCGCAGACTATATCAATCATGTTGTGAATGTGTCTTTTTATAACAAAAACAAGAAAATATATACGTGGCTAGGTACATAATGCTCCTCCAAGTGATTGCAGTTTGGTGGGGGAAGATGTTCACTGCCAAGGAGGACCTTTGATCTCACACTGAGGCATGAAAAAAATTTTCCCAGTAAGTTGATTTATGTTAGGTTATCTGCCAGCAGATCACGGACAGGTGTTGGGAACTGCATGAGCCAAGGTCAGGAGACAAGTAACTCAGAGGCATGCCAATTCTGAGGGCAGGAAGGCAGGGGAGTTCAGACAGCGAGGTGGGCATCTGTGCAGATGAATCAGTAAGACTGGAAAGAAGCAAAGCATAGCAACTCAGCTTGAAATGGTAAAGGAAGAAACCCCAAAACTTAAGGTGAATGTCTTGCTCAGGGACAGAGAGCAGCAAACTGCAGGATCCTCTTAAACAGTGCCTTTAAGCAGTTTGTGTCTGGAAACCCACTCAACTGGCATTAGGCTAGCCCTCCCTCCCCAGTCAAAAAGGTGCCAAGAAAATGGTTGCCAGCCATCTATACTCTTACTGGATTGTGGTAGTTCCTAGGTGACCATCTGCAGATGTAGGCATTGTCTTTGCACTATTCAAGAAATGGTCACCCACAGCAGACATAGATTTTGTACCTATATAATGGGTTCCTCTGGGCAACAGAGGCATAACTGAAGCTTACAGGCAGATTTACTAGATGTACAGGTGTAGTAGGTACACCTGTACATCTAGTACAGGGCCCCAAAGTCAATAGGATACTCAAAGCACAGTGTCCATGTCATCAAGACTTCCACTGCTTTGCTGAGCTAGAGAAGCCTGTTTCAGAGCCAGAAAGCTGGAGTTAAGATACACATCTCTTCTACTCATACAAATGCTTACCAATCTATCTATCTATTTGGCAACTGTATATCTAGGATCTGCTTTAGAATATGGGAAAAGTTTTCCAGGAATACTGCTGATTAGTGTGCACTAAGTAGCATAGACTGGAGAAATCAAAGCTACAAATGTGAGAATGGGCCACAGTAAGTAGGTGTGGATGATGGACAGAAAGATGTCTAACACATCACATCACCCAGGGGATGAGGAAAAGAAAGGCTCCAGCAGAGTGGTACAAGATCTCTTGTTCAGTCTTTTGGGTTCACTACAAAAATATTAAGATGTCACCCATGTATAAACATCAATGAAGGTCCCAACCACTGTACCTCCATTAGTGATCTCAAATGTCTCTAGTAAGAGAAATCTAGAAAGTCTGTAATTCTGAAGAATTTACTCCTGAAATTATTTCCTAAACCTTCTTCTTGCACTGGAAGTCTATTCAACTCTGTTAGTTGAGATTGGTCACCTGGCTGCTTCCAGTGTGAGCACAAAGATGTCATATACAAGGGGGCCATCCAGTCTTGTAAGTCCCTTAAAGGTCAGTACACCCTTAGAGAGGACCCTTTTCTCCTTGTTCCACCACCCTAAGATGACTATGACACTGCCTCTTCTCTTCTTCTTTGTTTTCTGAGTACAGAGATTCTTCATAGTTTTCAACACTCAGGGACTTCCTCGGAAGGTCCTACACAAGGTCTCACCTTATTTATGTTCACAGTGATCCATTTTCTTCCTTTACATCAGGAAATTGTTCTTTGTAAAATATGTACTTTTTAAGAGTGAGTTTTTCAAAGCAGTTTTCTCTCTTGTTAGGAAATGTACAATGCCTAGTATCATTATTAATTAAGGTATCCAGATACAAACAGCATAAAGCAAAAGATAATACTATTGTGGCTTCTGTGACAACACCTGTGAAACATCATTGCAACCACAGCAGAGATCGGAAATTGCAGTAGAATTGTTTGTTCTGCTCCTGCATTTCTTGGGAAAACAAAGCATACAGCTTGTGTATTTTTGAGGAATAACTCTAATGTTCTTACCTCCAAAACATCGTAGCTGCAGTTTGGGTGGTATTCAATGTCGAATTCCTGAATGGTGAGTTGAATGCTGCTACCAGGTGCTGTGTGGATGTACCAGATGCATTCCCTATTGCTTGGGTATCTGCTGGGGTAGCCAGGACTGTGAAATGAACCAGAAGGGCCATACAGTTCTTCTCCACAACCTGACAACACAGCGAAGCAGCCTGTCAGTGTGGGGCTCTGGAAAAATTCACCGACAGCTCTGTGATAAGGACAGGCTATAGCACCCATTGCATAGACAAATGTGTATACTGGGCTTGAGGGTCTGATCTATCACAGGAAGCTGAGGTCTAGCTGGGAAGAGAATAGCAGGCGAGACCTGCTTGCATTGCCTGCAGTAAGTACTTTACCTCCTCTCTTGGTATATTTTGTACTATACCTCAGCATCTTCTTTGACAGCTGAACAAACTGATACGGAGCAAAAAGAGTGACTATTTTTTTTGTATTGACCTCTATCAGGTCTAGAAAGCTGAAACAGATCCATCCTCAGCTGTTACTGACCTCAACTAATACACAAACTATGTTATCATGGGGAGGCCTTCCTATTGTTGTAAAAATGCTATTTCCCATTGCTTTACAAATCACAAAATGCAGAAAAAGACAATGCATTTTCCCTCAGCCCACTCAGCGAGATTACAAGCTGCCAAGTCACAGTGGTTCACGCAGCTTTCTGACAGCTGGTGAGTTTCATGTCCCTTTTTTAAATTCAGTTCTAACTGTGCAATTGTAAGACAAGCCATGTTTGAAAAGTTACGTGCTTTCTTTTCAGATCAGAAATTATTGTCCAAACATCACTCCCCAGGCCCTTGGGTGGCTAAGTTCTTGCATATTATGAGCTAGATTAAAGATAAATAAATAAAAACAGCGAAACAATGGATCAAATGCAGGCCCTGGTTTGACAGCACAAAGCAGCTGAACACCTGAGACTACAGTTATATCATTGCTTTATATGGAGATGTGATAACTACTGCATTAACCTTCATTACTGAGTTCCAAGGACACCACCATCCCAGTCCCCCGGTCAGCAGGGTGAGAAGGCACAGCAGCCCTCCCAGTGTCAGGGCAGATTTAGATCAGCTACATTCATGGTGAAACTCCACTTTCAGTGCAGCCAGTAGGGTGGCTGTGCATCTATCTATCACATGCAGAAAGCAAAGGAATTGTGTGTTTGATCTGATTTTACATGTGTGTTGCTCTGCCTTGCAGCAGCATTTTTTTCCTCTCTACATTACAAGCCCCCAAGTGCTTCATTTGGGTGCTAATCTTTTGCTTACACAGGTTTTATAGGGTCACTTGAGATTTGTAAGTAATGCCCACTCTCCATCAATCTCTTCCAGAGGTAAGGTTCTGTCATATAGCAAAAAAGTCCCAAAACACTTAATAAAACCATCTAACAAACCATGAGCTCTATATTCCCAGAGGTGAATACTGTGGTATGTCAGAAGTGATAAATAGTATCTGTATCAGAACCTTTATTTACAGGAGTTTTTTAATAGCATAAAACAAATAAACTACCCCTCTGACCTACTCAACTATTCCACACAGATGTGTAAAACTCATCTAATCTTGATTAAGTCTAAGAATAATTTGCAACTTGTACAAGGCATCTTTGGCCACTGCTCTGCTTGACACCTTTTTTTTTTTTTTTTCAGGAAGCTATAGATCAAGATCTACAATTAAGTGCAAATACTTTCCTTAACACCTTCTGTGACAAGTTGGTGGCTGCTAAGCCCCGGGAACATTAGTCATGATCTCTACCAGAGGGTTTTTCAGCTCCTCATTGAAAACGAGTTTGGCTTTGCCACAGTTGGCTCTAGGACTTCTAGGACTGCAAACCACAAATCTATGAGAGGAAAAAGCAGCGGGTCTGAAAGGGAGCAAAGCAATAAGAAGCTATTTTAAACTAAAGAGACATCTAAATACAGACATGAGGAAGACTCCAGCCATGCCAGCAATGTAACACTGATCTCTTGCAGCCATCACCCAGTACTTACTGGAAAACTACCTTTCAAACACAAGAATTCCCACAGTTGAACAATAGGTAGCTATAACCCAGGAAAATCTTTACACAGCTGATGTTGACCTCACACATGAATTGTCACAGGCTTAGTTCTCCCTTTTTCTCCATCTTACTTCACACAATGCAGCCTGGGCTGGTTCACCCTATAGCCACAAAGTTACATTGTCAAGTTACAGTGTGTTTCAATCCAGAAGCTAAAGAAACTTAAAAGTATATTTCAAGCCAATCTTGCCTTCAGTCCTTATGGAGAGAGACACAGAAAAAGGTAATTAACTTCCTTTCCCAAGGCCTGCCAGCACAGGTAAATGTTAACCCCTCTGAAACTTTGATATCCATGAACATTTCATGCGAGAGACAGAGAGGAATAAAGCTTCAGTGTAACCCACCATCCCTTTTTTGTTAACCAGTGTCATCATAAAATTGCCTAATTTTCTGCAAAAGAAACCAGGTCGTTGAGGTTTTGCTACTGGAGAAAAAAGATGTCGGGGGTGGGGAGGAGTGGGGGGAATTTGCAGGGTGAGTTACTTGCTTTCTTTTCTCTCAGCAGCCAGAGTTACATAGCCACTAAGAACAGACTTCAGGAGGGAAAAGCAGGCTCACCAGCTTGGGAAACAGAAAGATTTCTCAACAAACAGACTCGATGTCTTGGCTCCTGAGGGGGAGGGAACAGGGAGGCAAGGGAGTTTCAGCAGGCAAGAACAAAGCCAATTGCTATTTATCTCAGCCTGAAGAAAGCTGAGAACATTTTAAAACTAAGCAGGCAGTTATGACTCAGCTTCTCCTATTAAGAATTTCCTGATAGACACAAAAGGCATGTTTTTTATTTAAACCCGAAATGGCTCAGATGAGTGGAAACCTTGTGTGCTGCTCTTTGAGGCACAGACCTTTCCTCCCTGCAAACCCTTGCAAGCAGCATTCACATTACTCACACTCCCTCTCCAGAGAGGTTTATGTTTTCTCTGAGCTCAATCAATATTCTCTGGATGAGGTATCTCAAGCTCATGAGTAAGAAGGTCAAACTGTTTTTAACGTCCTATTTCTTTTCTTCCAGCTACAAATGTTCACCAAAGAAAAGGCTTTTTGTTAAAATGAAGTGATTCTTCTTTACTGTTCCAGTAAAATGGAGGTAAAGTTTAGGTTGCTGTGATTTATTTCTTATAATGAATGTGCTGAACTCATGTTGCCAATCATTTCTTAATTGTTTGCAAACAGAACGGAATTGCTCGAGTTTATGCCTCAGTATTCACTGACTAATAGCTGAAAAAAGAACTAATTGATCTTTGCAAATATGTGAACTTCACACCTGAATTTTTTTGGCTGACCTGCATATACCAGTAGAAACCTCCACATCAGAGCAGAAGCAGTTTCTGAACTCTCTGGCCAATTGGCAGAAAGTTTATATATTACGTTTCTGCTCTTATGTGGATGAGGTAAGAATCAGTTGTGTTGTGCTTTTCTGAAAATACAGATACCAGTTGAGTTTAATAAAATATTTACAGAAATACTTCAGAGATTAAAGCAAATATTCCCAACTCACTTGCTACATTACACTAAAATGAGAAAACTTAAATAATGTTAGAATAACATTTTGAAATACTTACAAAACTTTGATTCATTATGTGAATACAAACCTCCCATCTCTCCCAATATTTGCATTTGTCTACAAGCAGCAGATAAAAGTTTGCTTCTATTCAAACAGATGGAATTTGTGCTGTTTATGGCAACAAAGTAAAAAAAAATAATTGGTCTTTAGGGGTAAATAAAAACACAGAAGCAGAACCTGTTAATTGCTGCATGACTTCAGCTCTCACTGAAATAATAGTGAACAATCCCAAACGATTCTGTTCCTAGTGAAACATCTTTAAAAGTTTTTTCTCAGCACAGAAATACATGTTCTTTCTGTATGTGGACAGATATGCAGACAGCTGTACTGTGCAAAAGTTCTTGCAGCTGAACTGCATACAGCATATGCCCAGTTTGTGCCAACCTCCTCACAGGAATTTTGGAAATGTCAACCCTGCAGTTAAACTGAGAAAAAAAAGAGAAGAGAGGGGAGATACTCTTTTAGTAGTGTGAAGGTCTTGGAATTCCCTTGAAAAATGCTTACGACAACTACCTACTATGGTGTTAGTTGCTAGGAAATCTGACAACAAATAGAAAGCTCAGGAAACATATATTTGGTGGTTTTGCTTTCCTCTAACTAAAATGTACGTATTCATTGAAGATTGTGCAAGGGATGATTTATAGATCTTTCCATATTACTGCCTGTCTGGTTAGCAGATGGTGTTCATTAACCAAAGAAGAATCCCTATTCTCACAAATAATTATAGCTGAATAGAAATGTAGTAATTTGTGGAAACCTCTATTATTGGCAAGGTTTTCAGATTTATTCACGGGTATGTGTTAGTCATAAGCTAGAAAAATCCGATCCATAAAGGTTAAAATGAACTGACACCGTTCCTGTAAAATCAGAGTTAGGGAAATTAAAGAATTCAGAGTTTTCCAGTTGTGATGCTCATGGTGAAATGTTTCAATAAACATAAACTGACTCTAACTGCAAGGAGCATGTAGTAGAAACATTTGTCTCTACCACACTAATACTTGCATGAAGTATAACTTTAATTTGATTCTGAAACTTTTGCCCTCTTGAGTAGGTTTAGTTATAGAATGTTATCCAATGGATGAAAAGGAATAATTTTTGTGATGAGGGTTTATGCAAGAGAGTAAAAATTCAAGTCAGAAACAGTTTTAGTTTTTTCTTCTTTCTGATTTGTTAATCACTTCTGTAGCATGACTATCATTTTATCAGCTTCTTGAATTCTGGTATTTTTTCAAGATGTTCCAATCTGAAATCAGCAAGATGGATAGTAAATAGACTGCTGAGAGCCAGAGACATAAAGGCAAATGTAGGCATTTAAACAGGACCCTTCAAGATATGGAATGGCAAATGGCCACAGTTCCCAGATCAGCTGCCAGTGTTCAATATCAAAAAAAAGAAGCCATTTTCTAGCTCTCAGACATTGATCAACCTGTTCAGAAATGAGTATTTTAAGAAAATTTTGGCTCTTATTCTTATATATTAATTTGGGAGGTGGAGGGAGGCCTAGCTTGCTGAAGAAACAGAAATTAGTTCATCCTTAGCTCTCATAGAGAGCATGTATATGTTTTTAATGGTCAGACTGCAACATAAAAAGCCACCTCTGAACATGGTAGCAACCAGAACTCAAAACAACTACTCAGGACTTCAAAAGATCAGACCCTGTGCATCCTTACACTTAATGTGACAGAAAGACATCAAAAAGAAATAGTCATTTTTGAAAACAGAACAAATGGCAATTTGCCCAAGCCCACACAAGACATGACCAACAGAGCCATGACTCAGGCTTAGAAAATCTGGGCCTCAGCTCCCTCATTGACCTGCAGTGTGATGTTCTCCTCAGGAATCCTAATGGATGCCTAACAAATATCTGCAGTGAATGGTTTCTGCATCTTAATCTAATCGAATCTAGTCTCTGTTTCTGTTGTTCTTCCCTAACAATTTAACTAACAATTTAACGTTTCATCTGACACAAGTACTGAAAATGTGAAACAGAAAGCAGAATAGTGGCTGCAAATTTTTACTATGCTGAGAAGAGACAATTAAATGCATAAGCTCTACCAACAATCAAGTTACCAAATGAGTAAGCTTCCAATGAAATGCAGATGTATATATAAAGCAGTCAGCTCCTACATGCACATTGCTTAATAAGGTAAGTGATGGGTCTAGGAAATATGTGTCTTCTCAGATAGTGACAGTTGTCACTGGTGTAATTTTGCACTGAGACATCTTTGCCCTCTTGGGCTCCAGATTTTTTATTTTTTTGTTAAGGAAAGCAGCTTGCTTGGCATGCCATCTTTGCAATATCCAGACAGCTGCCAAGAGTTTGTTCTTTCCCAAAAGGCTCATATATGCTCCAAAAAATATTTGCCTATATTAATTTTCCTAAAAGAGTGTGAAAATGGAATAAGCACCTTGCAGATTCAAGCCTTCCTCTGGTGAATAATCCTCCTGAGGCCTTGGCTGCTGAAGAAAACATTAGTGATTTAGCCAAATCAATTCTAAATCCATTCTCATCAATGAAACCCCTTAGAAGAACGGTGTAATTTCAGAATCACAATCATTTTTAAATTGAATTCTTTGCACTAGATCTTTCCATGCAAGTTAAAATTATCTAGGACACTTTTAAGCATAAATAACAGCATTCTCCTAAGATCAGTTACTAATTCTGTCCTTGTGAAAGCCTAAAGAGTGGGTTTCCTTCAGCAACCAAGATCAGTAGCTCAGCAGCTGGCAAGATCAGGTGCAAATGTTTTAAATCAAAACAGTTCAAATTTATGTCATGTGTGGCACGGCACATGGTGGCAAATATAAGTGCTGCTCTCTTTACCACCAAAGCATGCGAGTGTCCTTGATATATATCTCGTAGATGCTTCACAACTGCTAGTTAAAGGAGTGCATGAACAGCCTGAGAAATAATTCACAGCAGCTCGAACTCTAGAGCACACAGTTGTCACTTGAGCAGAAATAAAAGCTCTTCTCTCAGCAGTATATGTAGCCTTGTTATTTTCTTGTCAGGTGAGATGTTACCAGATCTGGGTGTAGATTTTCTTAGGGATTTGCCCTCAGGGAAGAAGGGACCTGAATCCTTCGCTCTGAAATAGCCAACTCAAAGGCTACATCTCCCTATCAGCTCCCCTAGACAAGGAGACTTTTTTGAGTGAATTTTTTTTTGTGCACTTGAAAGATTTTCAGATGGGAGAGGTAAATATAGTATCCCAACCACAGGGACATATCTAATTTTATCCAGTCCAGAGCAATGGTATATGCCCAGACAGCACAGACACCAACAGTAAGATAAATACCCATATTTGTGCATGACACCACTTAAGAAAAAGGAAAGTGCTTGGAATGAACAAAAAGATGACAACTGTGGTCAGCTCTGGAGGAACTTGCCCTCATATTGCAAGCTGTCACAAGTTACAGCTGTGACATTCAGAGCCAGCAATGACATTCCCTAAGAGCCAGACCTATCTGACCCCACAAGATCCTGGTCTGCTGCTTAGACACAGCCCTACATTAGCAGTCTGGGCCCTGTGCAGCATCAGGCTGCAGTTTAGTGTCCAGAAATTAACAGAAGGGCAGTGCTGTCTGACAGAGAAGTGAATATGTCAGTGCAAAAACGGAGTACAGAGGGGTGGGAAAAGAGGGAAAGCACAAGAGTGTTTACCACTCAGGCAGATTCTGGAAAGCTTTGAGAGCTTTAGAAAAGCAAGTTAACCCAGCACCATGGCTACTGTATGGAGCTGATGTCATCTGGCTGTGCATAAAAGCCTCCACTTTTTCTTCTTTTGTGCAGTCCCAGAATGACATCACCCTGAAGCACAAGAACGTTACCTTTGTGCTGCAGCCCTTCCCCTGCTGGCTCCTGCCACACAGCCCACTCCTCCCACATATGTCTCTCTTTTACTCAGAAATGCCCCTTCAGCCCTGCTTGAATGCAAGGCACCACTGCCTAGCCATGAGAGCTCTCTGGGAGCCTGCAAACACCAGCAGTCTGTGGTAGGGGCAAGGAGCTCCTATTCAAACAACTTCTAGCATGCCATACACCTCAGCAACCCTCAGTGGGGCCTCTGCAGCCCACTTCAGCCTCTTCACAGTGCTGTCAGACCTGAATGGTGTGAACTGATTAGACAGACAGGGCAACTGGGGCGATTTAATTATTTTCAAGGTTGGATCCCCTTTGATGGGATGTACAACAGCACACGATTTAATCTTGTTACAGTCCACTATTGCTGTTAAATAAGCAGAGTGGAAAAAAGAAGCATTTGTAGCCTCACTTATGAAGAAACTGCAAATATAGTTTGCAGTTGTACAGTCATTAGCAGAGCTGTTTGTAACTGGTGTGCATGCTTGCCTGTTTAATAAGGCTTGTGACAGTCTTCAAGATATGCAAGAACAAGAGAACAAACACCCAAAGAACATCCTGGCCAATGTTATTTCATGCAGAGAAGAGGGGTGGGGGCAGCTGGAAGTGAACACTACCCAAGAAAACAAGTACCACTAGAGAGAAACCTGCACAAAAAACACAAGTTTACAGAAATGGGGCAAACTGAGGGCTGACCGTTCCCATCAGAAAGCCCAAGTCACTCACAGCTAGCCTGAAACAGCATCTATCTCCTGTCCAGTACAGAAATTCAGGACATAGTCCTCATCCCTTTGCCTACTCCTGCAAGTGAGAGCATATTTCACTGACAGCTCTCAGCCCCTAAACAGATGATCTTCAAAGGTGTACATGTGCAGAAACACTCACTGGGAAAGTAGTTGAAGAATTATGAAGAAATGCAATGATTTTAGAGCTGTAATGGGTTATTTCTTCTTAACTGACATAGACCGGCATAAACTGGGGCTCTATTACACATATAGGGCAGGAAACCTACCTTCCCAGAGGAAACCTGGCTAACTTACCATTAGCATGCCACAGCATCTGGAAGCCACTTCTAGCATTCAGTCCATCAGAATAAAACTCCACATGAAGGCTGGTCCCTGTAGTGTTCCCTGCCAGTGGAAGAGACCGTCCACAGAAAGTGCCTATTAGGTTAGATTGTACATCAGGTCCATCATAGAGCTGAAATGAAACAAAAAAATATTCTAGTGAGTAACAAGCAGCTCCCCAATTCTTAATGTTTTCTACAGGATTTCAAAGAAAAAACAGTGAGACTTCTCACACTGGCCACCCTTGCACAGCAATATGAGCCTGGGGAGGGTGGAAATATTTAGATAAAATGATGACCAAATATAACCGCAACATGCCTTTAAACCTGGCTGCACACGGTGCAGAGTAGGAAGGTTTTGCTCCTTCTGTTTTGGTGTGTATCGGGGGTTGCTGGAGAAGAAGATAAAGGGCAAGTGGCAATGAACTGAAATAGGAAGAAAAATGGGATGTCACAGGTCTGATTTGTTCATGCATCTAAGATGCTCAGTGCCTCCACACCCCTTAGTGACAACCCTGTTTACATCTTCATCCCTTTCAAACTGCACTAGGGTGATATCAGTACTGACTGGGCTTCTGAGGGAGACAGCCAAGCAGTCAGCATCACCAGGGCCTCTCAGAGTAGTGAGGACAAACTGAAAACCAATAGTAAAGTAAATCTTCAGAAACAACAAGTAAACTTCCTATGTGTTTATGGTTTCATGATATTATGCTAGTGTCCTGCTTTGGAGGAGAAATGGACTGAGCCATATTTCTGAAGTTTAATCTCAGTCATACTCTATGTGACAATATTTTGACAATCGGTGTGTTGGCAGATGCAGCCAGCCTGAAAATCTCTCTGTTCCCCAAATACAGATGAAAAATCTCCAAACCACTCTTAAAACAACCCAAAAACCAACAAAAGCAACAAAATACTAGGGAAATATTCCTGTATTAAATACTGACATCTTAAGTTAGTCATATACTCTCATTTAAATGCAAACACTTAATACACGTTTTGATGGGGTGATAGTAGATACTTCGAGCTTTTAAGCCTCTTTACACGAGTTGTCTCCAAACAGGTTTAAATGGTCTTTCAAATTCGAGTTTTGTGACTTCTTTCAAATCCAGTAAATCACACTGAATATGGATCTATGTTCCTCACCAAATACCCCAATGCCCCAATGTCATTTTTCAAGCATGAGGAGTATATTTTTTGCAAAGATGGTAAAAATGAGACATTTTAGCTAAATTAACTTTGACTTACAGGATCAGATTGCTGGTTGTTGTCAAGTGAGGAGTTGCTTTATTATTTCTACTTTTGTTACTATGATTCTTAAAGTTTAGAAAAACAGCAACCCTTGTGCTTTATTATCACTTTGCCACAGTTCATCTGATCTTCTGTCTCACAGAGCATATCTTTGTAACACAACCCAGCAAATTGCTGGCACAGAAACCATGTCTGAACATTCTCATTGTGAATTTTTGGCATGCTTCCTTTCAGAATTTCAACAAAAACTTTTCTCTGTTCTGAAGCCATCGCTGTAAAGTTCTCTCCATGCGAAGAATCAAATCTATGATCTCTAGAGAAACAGCAAAGGTTTATTTATCTTTGCTCTCCATTCAAATCTCTTTTCCAAATATCTTTGATTTCACTAAGAATTCTCCTGCACTTAGCACCCATAGTATGGAAGTAATGGTATTACAGTAAATATTGATTAAACATGCTAGCTACTAATTTTTGCACACATTTTCTGGCAGACTCACATATGGAAATGAGTAATTAAACCCTCAGCTTTTCTATTCAAGATGTTGGTCTTGCAGAACCTTCAGAAATCATGTTATTAATTTAAAACATAGTTGGGGCCGAGACATCTACTCAAACGGTTTCAAATCCTCAAGCAGATAGTCTAGTTTAAATGTCTTTATTAAATTAAAGAAAAAATCCAATAAATAAATTGGAGGTAGTTCTGCCAGAAGTTAGAGGCAAATTTCAGGAATAATTCTATGGTAATATTCCATGGCCTATTTTATGACTGGTGACCATGAATCTAATACAATGAAAGCCTCAAAGCATGTTGAGTGTGTTTCAACTTAAGAACTATGACTCTATTTGGTATGATTTCTCTTGACAAAATCAGAAAAGCTGGAAAGTTTCTAACTGCAGACACATTGCTGGTAGTTCTTGCAAAGCCTTGATCAAATGTATTTGGTAATAAATACAAAATTGACATAAAGATTAGATGTATGTTGAACATCCATCTGTATTCTTTCCAAATGTAAAGCTTGAAAGACCACCTGATAGACAGATGAGCTGTCCCATGCTCAGCATTACATTATGACCTTCTTCCAAGCCAGGCTGAGAGCTTTACACATTCTTTTAAGGCTTAAGTTCAGCAAAATGAAATCAAGTCAGATCCAATTATAATTTTTAATAGTACTACTTCCTTTGACAGCTTTGTGGTATATGCTACTCATATTTCTGTGGCTTCAAGCCATGGAACTCCTACACCAGAAAAATATGAATGGTGAAGAATGAATCAATGCAGAGATCATGAATCTGTGCTCTGAATAGAAGCAAAAACTATGTTAAGATAGAAATTCACAATCAGCTGTTTGCTTTAATGATTACAAATGAAAAATCATTCTAAAGAACTGTGGACTAAATGATACCCAGAAACTTTCAAATCCAAACCAAAAACCAAGCTTTATGAGTCTCCTGCAATTTGATTCATCATGGGAGTATTATTTTTATCTAAGACAGTGAATGCCACATTTCTATGTAATTTCCGCTGAAAACAGTCTGTCAGTTTTTCGAGACACAAAGAATGGTTACTATGGCAATCCCTTCACGCAGTGCTGCCCCGTGGGTTTGGGTTCAGAGCAGTGTTTCACAGGGAATTTGAGTGCCTGGCCAGCTGTAACTCATTGAGAGAGGCAGAACCAGGACTGCTAGAATTACAGCTGGGGTTTTTGAGCTGTCTTTCATTACTAAATGAAGGGAACAGCTGTGTGTGTTCACAGGGCATTTTGAACTTCTCCAGCCACCTTTTGCTCTCACACAAACACAGGCAAGTGAAACTGAAGCTGAACACAGCTCTCATGAGCCACAATTTCTCTTCTGATCTCTGAGATAGTGTTTCTTCTGTAAGGTCCTGCTTTGTCAGCTGTGCTATCTTAAACTGCTGCAAATCGAGGGAAGGTTCTTCTCCAGGCTGTATGAGGCAAGGTAGTCCCTTGGACTGTGCAAGAGAATTGGATTTTGGGGCAGTTTATTAGGCACTCTTGTACCATATTGACTCTAGGAACTGGTGATTGGCCTCCCTTTCAGCTTCTCATTGGGAAGAAAGTGCTTGCTCCCTTTCTGTGTATTTGTTTTGTAATGTATTTACTTGTTCAGCCCTTTTAGCCTCCACCAGAAAATCCAGTGCTTTGTAATGATTTTGGCAGACAGTCCAACAGGCAAGATATGCAAACAGCTGCTGCACATGTTCAGATCCTTAGCCTCCCCTCTTTAGCCAAAGCAATTGCCCAGCAGCACCCAGGACACTCCATTTCATCGACCTGCACTCTGGCACCAGGTCCAGGCAGGGATGTAGTACACTCAGATGAATTATTAGGCATGGGCTCAGTAACTGTTACGAGCAGCTCCTTATCAGGCTGCCTAGGCATAAGTGCATAGGCTGACACAAAAGTAAAAAGGGGAGGTACCAGCTCTCTAAGGGATGAATCAAGCTGTGTGACTGCCCTGCAGCAAAGTGGCAGCAGAAAACCATCTGCTGTATGTTAGAGTAGGGCTGGGGCAGGAGGGCTAGCCAAGGCTGTAGGAAGCGTTCAGCTTGAGTAGCTCTCCCAGGGGAGACACCATGGTCACCAGTATTATATTTTGGCTATTCTGACTCTTCAGCCTGGAAATATGTTGCTGACACCAGTAATGATGGAGGACACAGCTGTTCACCTCTCACTTGAAGTGCAAAGCAAACCAGCATGACCTGTGTCACAGAAAAGCTCATGGCCAGAACTGGAGCAAGGGCTCAAGGACTGAGCTGACCAGAAAAAGGAGTTTGTGCTGCGTGGAAAGAAATCTTGAACAAATGGGAAGAATAAACTTTGAACATGCTCTATTTGAGCATACTTGAAGCAGGAACATTTTTCTAGCTGAGCACCTTGTCAAGCTTATTCCATCTTGCAAAGTGAGCATTCTAGACAGGTAGTGAGACATCAGCTGTTCAGTTTTCCTGGCATTAAACTGATTTTTAATTTCTTTTTCAGGGCAAAATGTTAGTTTTCTCTTGGAGAACTTCATTCCTGTGAAAAGGCATGTTATTTTCATCAGGAAAAATTATTACAAAGCAAAAACCCAAGGCTAACCTGCCCTGGAAAAGCAGCTGCTTATTTGTATTGGTCATAACACTTAGCCTTGATTCAGAGACAATAGAGTCTTCAAAGACAAACTTTCAGTTTCTTATGAGGGGAATAACAATCCTATGGATACTGACAGTTCTCATTGTGCTGTAAATAATATTATTATCACATGTCATTAATTCACTATATAATTATGAGCCATTAGATCAATAATTGTCTCAATTTGAGTCTTGAAACAAATAGTTTGCAGTCAGAAAGCCTTTTTCTGGGGACCAGCAGCAACAGTCCTGGGCTGTATTTGCAGAACTCAGGAAAGGAGATTGTGCCTTGGATCATCAGATCAGCAGAGTTGTGAGTGTCCCACCCATGGTCAAATCCTCTATGACAGTCTCAAAGAACTATTCTGACTCAGACAAGTATCCCTTTCCTCTTAGAAGTGGGAAACCTGATATGGGATTGTTTGACTGATCTAAACACCAGAGGCAGTGATTACAGGTTTCTGAGTAGTTCTTCCTGAATGGGAAGGAAATTTTGGAAAGGAAATTTTGATGGCATCACAACAAATATGTTACCAGAAAACAAAATGGAGCATAAACCAGGCAATATAATTGTCATCTAAGTAACAAAATGAACTCCAAAGAGAGATGCCCATTAATTGTTGAAGCAAGAATTAACACAAAAATAATTAATTTCCAAGCAACACATTTCCTTCCAGAGGAGCTAGAGTGGAAACTGAAGAGCCCACAGGTCTGTCAGCTAGAGGAAAAAAAACAACAAACTAAAGCTCCAGG